AAAATGTCGGCAACTTAGAGATGGACCATCTCAACCGCGGGTCTGCCGATATCGACAAAAGAAAAGATAGACGAATAGGGGGTGCATCTGCTCCGGATGCTTCCCCCCGTTTGTTATAGGGGGTTAGCCGAGACCATGCCGTCACCTGCACCCTATATCCAACAAAAATTATGAGATGGCTTCCGGGAATTGGCAAAATTCATCAGATAATTTCTTGTTGTCCAAACAAAGGAACATCTCCAGCCTCAAACGGTCCACTCCATTTGACAAGCAAGCCTTCTAATGAACAATAGTTATCTATCGTCAAAGAGGGTGTCAAATTTATGGGCCATGAACGTCCAAAATTGCGTAAACATATCACTTTTGACATTGGAAGAATATTAATTAGAGAGAGGCCAATGCGCGCTCGTCCCGTCTTTTTCTCAAAAACTTCTACCTCTGGAAATGGGGAGTAACATCAGGGTGAGGGTAAATTGCCCAGAAACATTGTGAATATATATAATCTTTTTGAATATATTGTTAAACATATGAAAATGTCTCCCACCATATCTCAAAAAACCTTGGATGACGAAATCTCAAAATGGCAATGGCCGTAGGGGAATCACGCTTGAGCAGTATATAAAGGGCGGTTGTTCGCCAAATAAAGTCAGTCTCGATGGAATCTCCGACTCGAACTCTTCGAGTGGTAGCCTGCTCGTCATCCAGTTCAACTCTTCAGGACCAGTCTACAAGGAAGCAACTCTGCAGGACGACCCTCTGACGTCAACTCGACTCTCCTTGCAATTCCAAATCGAGTGCGCAACTTTAATGACAACCAACGGGTCCAAAGTAAAATTTCGACTCTTGGTTATCAACGAGGGACCCTGCTCATTATTACAGCTGACCTTTCAAGATCGATCTGATGGGACGCAGGTCTGCGGCATCGCCCCCTCTCATCGCTACAAGTTCGAGTGGACAACTCCATTTTCTGCACTGCGTCAGATCGACTGCATTTCTGCAAGACAGCTCCGAGCTGGTAAATCGCTCAACGTACAACTGAGCTCATCCTGAGTATACAGCTCAGAGAATCTTCTGGTTAAGCCAGCAGCAACCTGGTAAATCTCTCAGCGTACAACTAAGTTCATCCCGAGCGTTCAGCCGAGTATATTTCTTCAAGCCAGCACCGACATGATAAATTACTCAGCGTAGAACTGAGTTTATCCCGAGTATGCAGCTTCGGGATTTTTCGAAGCCTAGCAACATAATGTTAGGGAACAACCAAGTTTTGCCTGAGTGAATAACTCGGTCCTATCATCACTACTAACGCCTCTTGAGTCACCACATCATCACAACCAGCGTTACAGAATCGTGTCGGAGCATTTTCAACTCCATCAGTGCTACAGGACTTAGCATTCTTTTGGAGTTCTCCGGAATCCACTGCCAAGAGGAAACACCAAGAGATCGCCTCTTCCCTCTTGCCGTTTATTTCTACAAACGAAAGTCAGAAAAAAGCACCAACAACATTTAAATTATTCTCCCCTACACTTTGTTTCTCTCTACCCTTGGTTTTTATCTTGGACTTTTACTATTCTCTATCTCAAGTGAAGTGTAATAAATTTAAAATCTATTTAAAGGAAAACCTAACGGTATCTTTCTCTTTGTGTGCTAATTCCTCATACTATAATCATTGTGTACTTCAGTACGTAGTCCCACGCAATAGACCCCGCTAAGTGAGGTTTATAAGATCCTTTCTCCTCCGGACACTACCTGTCGTGACTACTGACGGTCAATTCACCTGAACGGTTCACCTTTTATTCGATATTTCGACCTACTTAGTGACTCAGTGCCCGCTACATCAGATTCTCTGAAGGACGTTCGCGATTTCAATTTGAATTGCCCACATTTGAATTTTTTGTTGAGCATCCTATTCCCATCTGCGGTTGGCTACTGCGTGTTGCTCGTTTGGCGCATTGGAGGGATTCAAATTGTTTGATGCGTCCGGTCCACGATCGGGATCTCCTTTGTTTGGCTCGCATAGGATATCCAAATCATCGGGCGCGCGAGGAATACTCGAAACTCGTGACTCATTCAACGCAGATAGATCACTCGCTATTATCTAAGTCAGAAATGTGGAGACGAAGATCATCATCATCATCGCTCTCCATTGTATCGTCATTTCGAGGAGCTGTATCTTATGCAGAAACAGGATTCTGTCTAGCAAAATTGGGAATATTCAATTGAGAATGAATTCGAAATTCTTCACGTTTACGGTGCGCCAATTCTCAGATTCGCTGTAACCGAAGTTTATGCTCTCGACTGAAATTGTCTGGATGTTTTCGCTTACGTTTTATACTCAATTGCAACAATTGATTCGCAAAGATGACAATTATAAAAAGTTTTACTAAAATCCACTGGAGAAACAGACAACGGACCGGTCTGCTGAAGCGAATTAGACTAAACGATTAGATTAGTTATAAAAACGCGGAGTTATTCTTTCGGATGCAGATTGAAGAAGATATTAATTTATTCGTAATTCTTATATACATTCTTTAGGACGAAAAACCAAAATTTATTATACAACCTTGGCTGAAGTTGCAGGCCACAGCCATGATTACTTCGTAGATCACCATCTTTTTTCAAAGACAATCTGCGGGAAGCATAAAATAGTTGACGAAACACGTAGAAAACAGACATGTGTATGTTTCTTTTTCAGCAATGATATTGTGAGGTACAAAACTACTAACAAAATCGATTAATGATAGCCGTAATATTTACATTGAAATTGCATGTTGAATCTAATTTTGTTGTTCTCATGTTGCTGCTGTTATCAATTTAGAGCAATTTAGTCGTTAAGAAATACAATAATAGTAATTGACTACGCTCTTAGAACAATTTCGGAGGAATTTTCCAGGATATTGGGAAATATTTGAAAGATATAATGAGTAGCGCGCATGTCTCTCGACGACAAAGTCTATGAGGCAAATCTAGCTAACGACCCTAACTTCGTAGATATTTTGCGAAAACTTCATGATGAGGTAAAATGACTGTAAACATTATCGTTTACACTTCTTTATTATGTGACAAATCTGATATTAATTATGACAATTCCGGAATATCCCCCAAATCTTATTGCAAATTACTTCATTTGAAATATTTTTTAATTTCACTTTTATTGACATTGTTTTATCAAAGAGAATTGTTGACACATGATTGAAGGTAACCTCATTGTTTGTAAAGTAATTTAACGTTTAATTACCACCAATAAATTATTTTCGAATTAAGTATTTGTAAAATCGATTTTTTTTTCACTGAACGAACCGGCCCAAGAGTTTAATACGATTTTTTCATGCAAAAATAAGACGTCTGAGGTAATAACCGCCATACATGTTCCAAAACTTCAGTGCATTTTGTTTGCATTGTTAAATGAGTTGAAAAACTTACCTAAAAATAATCGTGGACTACAACAATTCTGCTCACACACAAAGAACCTGCTGAATTAAAAACTTCCTCCAAAAAACACAGACAAAACAATCGCATGTTTGGCTCTGTGGGGTTTTTCTGGGAGAAGGAAGAAAGGAAGTGACGTCAGCGACATCGTACCGCGGTACTAATGCGCAGACCACGAAAATTATTTTCAATTATTCTCCTAATAATAGTACGCCGTACTTGTATTTTGAATGTGTATAAGGAAAGGTTCATTTCTGCAACTAAGAAAAGCCTACCTAAATACTTAATTACAGTCACGGAAGAAAGTACATTTATGGCGTACTTTTCCAATATTCCCATACCTATCCCATCAGTATTATAAGAGTACGCGATACTTGTATTTCGAATTTTCGATTACATACGCGACAATGAAAGATGAAGTATGAGTAGATATGACTATAAGTCGTAACTAATACATGAACAGTGAGGAATGAGTGTGACAGATTGTAGACTTCAACTTTCGAGAATTAAATTTTTTTGGTAATCACATTAAATACACATTAAATATCTTTATCGAATAGATTTAACTAAGCCATTTCAACCATTTCAGTTTAGGACAGTAGTTGGAACATAGCCACCTCCGCCGTAATTATACTGATAAGTAGACAGCTGTCCTTAATAGACGTGGTTAATTTCGGAGTTTTGGCTGTTCTATCAAAATCATCCCAGCGGCTGACACTTTTGCGTTTTGGTTCGCACGCCGAGAGCTGTATATATTCGTTCCTTTCCCCGGACCAAGCGGAATACGTCACCACGCGTATATATATTTTGATGAACGTCGAAATGACTATGTCGAAAAAAGTAAAAACAAATTCATTGTGTTTGTTTTTGAGATATTGAAGAAAGAATCCTGTTTGGTGAGCTACCTGGATGCTGCCGGGTTAAGGGAAAGGGGCGAAGATAGATTGATACGTTGATGTACTTCAATCGGTACAAATCGCGTGAACTTCTTTGGCGTACAAATTACAATTTAATTGGTGAATGTCTCAATTTGTTGAACAACTGATATAATGACTTGGTAAACTCCACGGCACAATCGCGAATTAACACGAATATGTGTGATCGTTGATGTACTCGAAAAATTGGGTGAGCGTTCTACTTGATATAATGAAAACACGTCTGCACTTGAAAGGATATCGGTAATAAGTGTCGATCTATGGGGGGTTTGCTCGCCTAGTGTCTCGAAAATCCGATTGACCCCGAGGTCATCCGAAGTCTCCCGATGGTTGTCAAAATTATGATGGTTGAAGTTCGTTTAATTTTAAACAAATCCAAAGCTATAACAATGGCATTTAAATAAAAATTATATGAGTGATCGGGCTGAACATTTATGTAGTAGAGGTTATATTTTTAGTAGTACGTTGAAACTCATTTTTCATTGTTTAAATATGACCGTTGCCTTATCCAGTAAAAGTGAAACTGTATAGAAGTTTACAATGCGTTTGCTACTTCGCTCTTGTATACCCAGTGGATCCGATTAATCAAGAATAAAAGAATGAACAGGAAATTAATAATGCTATTTTTTTTATTTTTAGATCCGATGTACAAACATCTTTAGTGAGAAACTCTTGGGGTCAATTATTCACTCTGGGTCTAGCTCAATGCGCCTACACCCTATCGCTTCCAAGTATTCTCACATCAATAATCAATCACCTTCAGGCGAGCATCGCTCAGGAGAAAATAACAGCGAGTAAAGTGAAGCTCATCACTGAACACATATGTAGGCTACAAGATTGTGTTAGTTCATTGCAGAAGATGCAGGTCGACGCCACCGAATATGCTTATCTCAAGGCTTTGACATTATTCAGTGCTGGTAATGCAATGTTTTGTTATTTTCAATGCTGAAGAATTTTTGTTGGGAAGATTAAGTGCAGTTAAAATACTCACAACAATTGAATTCTACCTTGAGGGGGCTTGATGACAATCATTGAAGAAAGCTGTAAAATGTTCACTTTAATATCCTCAGCTTTCTAAGTAATGAATTTTCCATATCATCAAATTTGAAAAAAAAAGTGTTCAAATGGGATTCAAATCAAGAACCTAAAGATTTCCCATCTATTATTATTTATCTTCGTCTAGTAATATCATTTGACATACCAAAGTTTTCTCCATTTTCGATCAAATGACTCATCTCAGTTTTTCAATTCGATAACTTATGGCAACTTACCGACAATTCATCTTTCTTCGCAAAAAACTCTGTCACTTTGTTTGCTGGACTGTCTTGCTTAATGCACCAATAGAAATAATAATCCTTTTTTTTTAATTTAATACGGGGAATGTTTTTCTTGAAACTTTCATTCTATTATGAACAAATTCGATTTGGTATCTTTCTCACCAGGCCATTATTGTAACAAAAAGTTTAAAAACAATATTTTGCACAATTTCGTTAACTTCACTCGTTTAAAATAATACTGGAAATTAAAGGGAACGTCAAGCTAGTATAAATCAAATACAAAAAAGCTTTAAAAAAAGCGTCGCGACCAACTTATTTGGCTCGGTTTTCCATACTAACATGGATATAGCTCAGAAAGTTCTGCATCCTGAATCATACTTCAGGATCAGAAAGTATATTGCTGCACGAGATGTTTGTAAATTATGTTTTGTTTCAATCAGCCAGAACTCCTCCATGAATTAGACCCACAGTTATCTGATGGGGCAACCTTGGAATTTATTGTTCCCTCGCAATCTGTTTTTTTCAAGGAGCTCATTTTTGTTTAACAAAGGGAGGGGGGGGGGGGTGGATTTTTTCGCAAATTGATGCTCAAACGATTGGCAATCGTCTGAACCACCGAAATTCTCGATCATTTCAGTATACATTTGCGTGAAGATATTTTACCAATTTGTTAAACAAGTTCCGAATTCGTCAACCAAAATAGAACTGATGAAAACAAAAGGTTGTGAGGAACCACTAAATCTCGACGCTTTACACAATTGTCAATCGGTTGAGCATAAATTTTAAAGGAAATTGTTCCCGCCTTTGTTCAATAATTTTGGAATTTAGTAACAAAAATAGAACCGTTAAAAAAAGGTTTCCGAGGGGCCAATAAATCTCCATGTTTCAAATGATTGTCTACCGTTTGAGTACGCATTTTGCGAGACGACTGTTCTCCTATTTGCTTAACAATTTTTTAAATCTGTCGACAAAATTAGAACCATTGATAAAAAAAAGGTTCCGAGGGACGAATAAATCTTGACGTTTCAGGTGATTCTCAATCGTTTGAGTATATATTTACGCGATGATTTTTTTACTGATTTATTAACCAAAAATCGAATTTGTAAACAAAAGTGAAGCTGTTGAAAGAAATTATTTCTGATGGGCCAATGATTTTCGGCATTCCAGGATTCTGTATTGTTTAAGTATACATTTGCCAAACGATTTTTAACAATTTGGAAAAGAAATTTCAAATTTGTGAACGGGCAATCATTTTTCGTTTGTCATCGGTGGTTTCTTCATCATACCCCCACTCCGCATTATATCATATGTCTTTGCTCGTTTCCGGACATCATCGGTCTTCTCGAATTATCCACACTTTCGGGCTCCCGACCTGTTTGACTTCTAGGTACTTCCTCTATTTTAGTACCGTAGCTGCTGCTATGAAACCTTTCGGTTGGACCATCGCCATAAGCGTTAGCCATCTCCGTTTTAATCTCTGGTATTATACTACACTGTTTCCAATCGCTGAACGAGATAAATGAGAATTTGAGTCGCGCTGCTAACACAGTGGCTCAAATATAACCCGTTAGTTAATGGATATAAAAGAAAACGCGGGAAATGTGCATGAATGCTCATTGCTATGTGGATATCTTCGTTAATATTCAATAATTAAACCGATAATTGGATCAGTAGAAAGCTGATACGCGATTTATATGATGTAACTAAGTTTAGTTTGCATCTAAGTGATCGCGTAAATTTATTAACTAATAAAATGGATTGGAGGTGGTGGAAGGGAAGTTGTGTGGTGTTTAGCTACTTGGTAGCTCTCGGTGGTCTTTCGCGTATAAAACGTGTACTTGGCCGATACATTACCGCGTATCTCGATATATCCGTTATAGGCCGAGATTGTGAGTTTACAGTCCGAGCGGGAACCAGGGAATGCAAACACAATCGTCGGAAAAATTCTTTTCGGCCCAGTAACGAATAATGTTTTTTTCATTGAGTCCGTTGACAGGGTTTGATGACCGTTCATATTGTGAATTTTTAGTTGGAAGTACGGTACGGGTCTATTCTTTCATATTATCTTCAAGATGCTGTTTCATTCGAAAAATCCGCTTAATTCATACTCGATTTTTTGGATTTTATTTAATTATAAGTCAAGAGGATAAGTAACTGAGAGCGAAATATGAACTATAGAAGACCTCACCAACAGATCAGATGCACCGTTCGCGTGACAGATACCGCTTTACCTGCTAGAACACTATTCTTCACGTTATGCAGGCGCCACGACTGGGACGTGGTAGTGACACAACTCCCAAAAAGAAGACCTTCACCTAATTAAATGATCCCATGGCGCTTAGACATATGATAGTGAAGAAGTGACCTTAATAGAACATCTCACCCGTTCTGCTGGCATTGATAATTTTCGGAAAAGTTGATGAAAAATCTTGATTCGCCTCTCTTATATTCTAATACCTTAACAGACAAGAAATATAACACCATAAAAAGAATGCTAAACGTGCTGGTAAGTCTAGTTATCGAGACGGATAATCTGAAGGAAGTTGTGGAGACGCTGACTTGACGAAAACGATCTATTAAAAATAAACTTGGCTAATATACCCTCTCAATAGGCTTCTTATTGATTGAATTCTCCGGAATGTTGCCCTCACGATCTGTCTCGAGTTGTTCAATATATGCTCCGTCTATAGGATAAGCATGGCAGTACTTAAGCTGCACACGTTTGTATTGATATGCGAAACTACTCACTCCTCACTAACTTTTCTAAGAAACAGTTATACAGGTGAGATGTATACCGCCTTGGAAGGAAAGCTATTTCGATGTACTCAAACATTTTATGGTCAAAATGAAAAAAGAAGAATCCAATGTCACACTTCTCTGATACTGTGATAGTAAGATAGTAATTATCTTAGTTTCGAAATAGCTCTCCTTGCCAGTCGGTGTACATCGAGCTTCTACACACTTGGTACTGAAGGAACCCAATTCCTTTTCATTTTCTTTTTTTTCTGTTCTGGTACAAAATTGACAGATTAATGCAACTGTTAAAGTCAGAGAATACATTACATTACATACCTACATTTTCAATTATGGTCGGAATGATCGAACAGTAGTGATGTTGTTATTAAATATTATCAACCATTGTTTTCGGTTTGTTATTTGGCTGCCCATTTAGTTTAGAGTCGTTGGAGAAGTTCGTTAAAATCCCTATGACTTTTTGATAGAGTTGCTTCAACATCGCTTGGCTTTTGTATGGAGGATAAACTTAATTGTTTATAAGTGCAATATACATGGTTTGTCTGGTTTGTTTGGAAAGCGTGTAATTCCCAAGGACGTTATCGAAGTTCTCACTAGAAGGTCCGCATCGGCACATAAGCTGACGCCACAAAAGGGTTTCTTTTTCGAAAAGCAACAAGATAATGGTTGTTAGTTCCGGCTTTGTTGATCTAAACTGTCGCTTTTCTGTTTGTTATGAATGTTTGTTATGAATCCAGGGCTTACATTTTTTTTTTGTAAAAACCCCTGAAGTATTTTTATTTCTTGCCAGCCACCTCATGACCAATGGTTTCATTTATGCAAATCTACATTGTTTCATTTGTCGAATCCAGCTGGAATTTTTCGCGGAAGTTGGTAAAGAGAGAATCCATTCAAATTCAATCATATGTTGATTGTTATACCTTTGCCTAAATTTTCTATAGTTAACTTTAATCTTTAGAATAGCCTTACTTTTACTCGCGCTCGGGGCAGTTTGAGAGCCGGTGCCGATGTAACTGAAAGACTCAGAAAAAATTTTATAATCGATAAATGGTAGTCGAGGGTAACTTTTATTGCCTCATTGACGGCCATGCATTCTGCCGTGTACACCGAAGCTTGGGGGTTAATACTGAAGGTCAATGACAGGTAAAACAGACCCAGCCGGCCGAAAGTCCACTTGATTTTTTACTTCCATCAGTGTACATTGCGATATTGTTTTGTCTTTGAACCTTCGGCATTAGCTCAAATCCTGCCAAGTCGTCTTTTTTTCCTACTGCCGATAGAATTGTTTCATAATCATAACTATACATGCTGAAATGGTTGTCAATATTTAAATTAGAAAGAAGGGATGCTATTTTGCGGATAGATTTGTCAATGAAACGTTATTTACTGTCGGAGAGGAGATCGATGCTACTGGTATATTCTACTGGGGAGAGGGAAACCTATGTGCTTCGATTAGAGATGGCTTTTTGCAGAATTTTTCTACTAGACCCTCTGTATTGGCGTTTATTTGTTTATTAATAGGTCTATTGTTGACCCCCAGCTATTCTTAAAAATTTTGCAGCAGTTCCACACCTACGAAGCTTTTTCATTGATGTCTATAGTTTTCGCGAAGGTGTACAAGCCTGTTTTTCTATTTTGCCAAAAAAACTTAACCTCGTCTTTGGCTGCCGCTTTAAGGGTATCCCGGTCTTCAGAAGATTTCATGATCCCGAACCCGGCAATACCCAATGTCTCACCAGTGCACCGAATTTCGGTAACGAGAAAAGGGAAGTGGAGATGCGGAGAGAAAGCGCGGAGTGTTTACTAGAATGACCTCAGATACCTGCAAGACTCTCAGTCGATTTTGATTGAGGATAGCTGGAACGGCTTTTTAGAATAGATTCTCA